AAGCACTAGCTAATAAACCTTGCTGATTGAACCTGCACGGTCTCCAGGAGTTCCTTGGGCTAGGCCTGACAATAACAAAGATAAGTGATTTCATGATTTCAAAAACTGGACAGTAGAGGGGACTAAAGTTTTTAGGTAGAGGACAGATTTACAAACCTGTAAAATGTTGCAGAACATTATAACAATAAAAACACTGAAGACTTTTGAAGAATGGAATCAGAAAATAGTAGTCACAATATCAACACTGTCAGTAATGATGTCTGCTTCTATGATAGACTATGTCCAAAAGATGTTATTGAAGAAATGACAGATGTAGAACAAATTTTATCTGACAAGACAGAGATGGTATCAAAAGTGGATTTATAACTGATAGGCCAAAAGAATGATTTAGAAAAGGATGTTTCATTGGATCTACAAAAGAAGCTGACTGTGGTTTTAAAATTTAAAAGGGAAATACAAATGACAAATCAAGAGACTGACCTGGATAATTTTTTTCCTACTGGATTTACAAAAGAAGCTTCTTAAACAAAGAAGAAATGAGGAGAAATCAAATCCTATGACAATATTTGAATGAACTAAAGATTAAGACTGTTGGAAGTAAAAGGAAGGAATATAGAGTTGGTTTATACGACCAAGTTTAAAACAAGATATGTTGTTACTTCTGGCAACCCTTTATGGACTTTCTGCTGAGACCAGGACTGAAAAGATGAGGTTTTATGGATTTGTTTATACATAAGAGATGGGTTATGGGATGAAGAAATAAATGTTTGTAACCTTATGGGGGTGAAGTGTCACTAAATTTGTTTATACTGGTGATGCAGGTTGGAAGTTACTTCTTTATATATTTCCTTCCTTCCTTCCTTCCTTCCTTCCTTCCTTCCTTCCTTCCTTCCTTCCTTCTCTTTTTTCTTGTACTTTTTACTCCTTTATATTCTCTTTTCTTTAAGTTTAGTTTGTATTAAATTTTGCTATTATAATCAAAATTCTTAATCAAAATTACATGTGTGTGTGTGTGTGTGTGTGTGTGTAAGTAAATCACCTTCCAGTCAGGCTTAATTCCTGATAACTTTATGGATGAATCCATTGTGTTTTATTTGCAACAATACTAAAATAGTCTGTTGGTGCATTTTTTCAACTTTCCAGTCTAACCTATGGCCCCTGTATTTTATGGGGAACTCCCAACCAAGTACTAACCAGGTATAATCCTGCTATGCTTTTTGTAATTGGCCAAGATGGGGTAGATGCTGCCACCTAACCAACACCCAGTATGATTTATGACTTGGAGTTCGGGCATAAAATTTCATAGATATAATAGCTTTGTTCAGCCTGGGCCTCTTCAAATGCATTAGCCTACATGTCCTACAATTCTTAGATAGTTTAGCAAAGATAATATATGCATTTACTGACTGAAATCAAGCAAATGGCTTTCTTGTTTACTCAGCTCATAAAGTTGTGAAAACAGCGGGATGCAGATTATAAATACTTTCCATTAGAATCATAGTATGTAATATTTCCTCATTCCCAAGGCAGGGCAAGTACAATGGATTAGGTATCTGGTATCTTTCTATTTTTGTTTAACATACTGTGGGTATATTCTGATTTTCATTTAATAGAGAAGTTCAAGAAAGAAAAGTAAATCAATTTTTCTTTGTCCTTATTTATAAACAAGGATGCATACTGTTTGTTATTAATCTTATTTTGTTTTAAAATTAAATTTTATGTAACAAGAAAAACAGGAAAATGAAAGATAAAATGTTTCATTTTGTAATCTGCACTGCTGAGGTTTAATATCACTGAAACTCTAAATTTAAAGTATTTTTATACTAGGATGTAACTTACTCATACAATTCAGAAAACTGCTTATACAGAGGAACTGTGTTGATATCCTCAACTTTCAATTTAAGTCTTCCCCATTCTGCTTTTAACATTTCCAGTTGCTTCCATCGTATCAGATATGATCTCTGCAAGGCACATGAGGTCATTGTATCAGGTGGTGCTTCCAAAGTTTTTCCTTTTGCTTCAGCTGTTGATGTTGCTAAAACCTGCTGAAATAATGATTGAAAAATACAAGATTGGTTTTTAGAAACAGAGTTTAACAGAGCTGCAAACTGCACGTTTTGGTCAATATAACAAACTTGAAAAATGGAATGGATGTTTAAATGATTCAATGTCTACAGCTACCTTATGTCAGTCCACATTGATACTGGTACTCAGTGTCAAAAGATACTAAAGTACGCATTGTATTAATTAGCAATTGTAGAATATTCATATAGTTATGCTTATTTCTGGGTAAATCATTTAAACATTGCCCTGTTACTCATCACTGATCTATTAGGCCATTAATGTAAGTCACTGATATTTGACATGGTAATTCAGGGATTTTTTAAAAAATATGTCAAGTCATTCAAAGATATGCCCTCACGCAGTTATCTAATGTGATACATTCTAGCAAAAGTTGCAGCACATAATTTTTCTGGAGCTTGAACTTAACTTTATCATACAATTAATGCAAGAAATAAAAGAAATGTAGAGTTAAAACACTTTATTTAGTGATAAATGCAAATGTGGTCAGCCCCAAACAAAAGAAGAGAAAAGCCATGCACAGCTCCACTTGTTTTACCTTTCTGAAAGGTTTTTGCACTTCTCGGGAATCAGTCAGAATTTCAGAATTCCACAGAACATCTTCCATTACAAACTGTATCCCAATCAGCTCTCCATGAGCTACTTTTTGATCCTCAGCGCTCAGGCCACATAGACATAACTAGAAAAGGTGAGGTACCTTCAGAATTTGATGGGATTTTGACATAACTAAATCAATCAGAGATTCATCTGAGAAGTTCACACTAGGACATGAAATACGATTATATGGTACCGATATGTTTAATTCAGGTGTGGTGATACAACAGATTCGTTTGCAATGCAGTAAAGCATTTTAATTTCTGTAGTCATTTGCATTGTATTGGAAATACAAGGAAGAACTGTTTAAGATGTACCAACAAATAAAAGCCTCATACCTGCATGCTAGAATTTATGGGATTCAGGTTGCTTATGGTGACAGGAAATAGACTTCCATTTGCTAGGAAAGTCCTCCAGGGAAACAACATTAATGCCTAAAAGAAAAAATGATAATTGCAGAGTTCTAATATTAAGCATCAGGCACATACATATATATTACCTCTAGTATCCTTAAATCCAGTTTAACTGATAGAAGTGTGCATAGATCTGTGCTCGGCAGAAAGGGGCAGTAAAGTTCCAGAAAAAATGTCTATGGATGCTTCACCAGTTTATCATCACAGTGAAAATCCCTATAAGGGCACGCACCTGTGATTCGTCATATTTGCTCTTCATCTTCAGCCACTATCATTCTAGAAGCCTTCTTGCATTGCCTTTTTCTCATTATGTGAGTGCTATTAATAATATTCATGACAGTCTTTAGCCTGTGAAACTAAGCTTCAACTAGCAGGAAATGCACTAGAGAATTATTAAATTCATATCTGGTACTCCATGAATGGAACGAGACGCCATCCCCAATCTGACAGAAAATCTTCAAGCTTCCAGGCCTCAGAGTGAGCAGGGCATGCAGGTTGGGCAAGTGTCCAGCAACCTTGCTACCTCCTTGCTGGGGCAAACGGCAAGCTCTGCTTTCCCACACAGGATGGAGCAAGAAGGTCCCTATGAAACATCATGAAAGTCTGCTTGCTGGGCTCCCAAGCATGCACCAAAGCCAAATGGGCACTTGGCCTATGGTGGGCAAAGAAAGTGTTCAAGGACTAGAAGAAAACTAACATGAACATGCAGAAGAAACTATGCATATGAGCATAGGCCTCATATGCTATCAAGAGTAGTTCCTAGTTTACAAACAAAAAGAGTTAAAGACTTATGTAGAGAGCCAATGTGGTGTAGTGGTTAAGGCATCAGCTTAGAAACTGGGAGACCATGAGTTCCAGTCCCACCTTAGGCACGAAGCCAGCTGGATGACCTTGGACCAATCTCTTTCTCTCAGCCCTAGGAAGCAGGCAAGGGCAAACCACTTCTGAAATCTTGCCAAGAAAACTGCCGAGACTTGTCCAGGCAGTTGCTGGGAGTCAACACTGACTCTAAGGGACCCCCCCAAAAACTTATGTGCAGTTTTACCACCATCCACATTACAGTAGCTTGCAGGGAAACTGAAGACCACAATTTCTTATCACAGGGAAATGCTGGAACACCAGCTCCCCAGAAGTACAGAGCTATCATGGAAAGGAACCTATTGACTGCCATGAGGGAAGTCAAATGTTTTGGCTCAAATGCTCTTCTCCACAGATCTGTGTGGTGATTTGCTGAAATTTTGAGTTCAATCCTTACTGGCCAAACCAATTGCTAGTTACAATATCTTTTTGACTATGAAAAAGTAGGTCAGAAAAATATGTCAGTCCTCTGTAATAGATATTTCCTTAAACTTTTTCATTTAAGAGACACACACATATTCATATTTGTACCTTGTATTCTATGCATACCTTTCCACAGATGAGAAGAAAAGGGCCTCAGCTGTTTTTAAATGCTGAATAGAACTCTTTGGAGAATAGATGAGATATAAATATTTCTGAAAGATCTCTTAAAAGTTAAAGCAAATATATCTTTAAAAATCTAGTTTACTCACTCTCTGGCCCCGTGCATCTAATAGCCGTGGAATTTGGAGTTCAGAAGCAAATGCACTGCCCAAAACTGCATTACTCATGGGAGGCAATGCGTGGTAAATGTTGTCTGTAATACTCTGATATGCAGAAACGTATCCAGATGATAAAAATGTTTCCCTAAAGGGATGTTAGAAAAATAAAACAATACTGGAAAGACAAATGCAACTTCCAATTTATTCTGCTTAAACATTGCACCATGCATTTCATTTAAAGTTACCGTGACAACATCTGCCTAAAAAGTGGTCTAGAATTTCCCATTATTTTATTCCTAAATCCCTACCAAGATGCTGAAGATGGCCATAAAGCCTTTTCTCATAAAAAAAACACTGCTTCCTGTTGTTCCCCATGGAGAAAGAATGATTAATTTCAGCTGGTAATATACATATGCTCTCGGACCTCAATAAAACTGATTTGGAATGTTTCGTTCTTCCACCCTTTTACTCCTGTTTACACAATACATTTCCCTTGAGCACTCACAGCTCACACATTTCACCAATGAAGACATGTGCAGACTTACTTTTCATATGTGATTTTAAAGGCACTTGTTAAATAAAGTACTGTACAGGTTAAATAAACCAAAAAGGGCCATAATGGTCAGTGGTGTTAAATCCATATTATAGTTATAGCTTTCCACAAAATGTAAAAGTAAAACACCTTTTATAGCTTATAGAAACAAACAAAACAAAAATTCATTTCAATAAATTTTATTTATTTACACCTTTTAAAATTCCTTGTTAAATTACTATTCGAAAAGACCTGATCTTACACACACACACACACACACACATATACATATCTGCATAGGCTTGAACCCCCTCAGCCAGATAATCACAAGGAATACGCGTACAAGTTCAAGAGTGGAACTACCATCAGCCACCTCCTCTACATGGATGACATCAAGCTGTATGCTAAGAGTGTACAAGATATTGACTCACTGATTCACCTGACATGGATCTACAGTGAGGACATTGGGATGTCATTCAGACTGGACAAGTGTGGCTGGATGGTAGTAAAGAGAGGGAAGGCAGTTAAGACTGATGGGGTGGAACTGTCAGGCCCAGCCCAAGAACAACAATGAAACAGTCCAGTTGAGTACAGTTCCTCTATTTGCTTACACCTTATAGACAGA